TCCAATTATTATATTATTAATAGTTTCAAATATCCATTTATAATAATGGCATTGATTGTTAGATAATCATATTTTGATCCACTGCTGTGGTACAAAATAGGATGTTAAAAAAGGGCCGATTTTTTTTAGAATAAGTATAAATAAAAGATATTTATTTTATAGATTTTGATCTCCTAATTACGATAAAATTAATACAATATATGTATATACGTATAAGTCGTGTGAAATTGATAAAACAATGACGTACATAACATAATATTGGGCGTATTTTATGTACATTTTTTTAATGTATTAACTTCATACATTATCCGAATTTCTATAAATATGCTATGTTTTTGCTCAATTTTCAAAAGGTTCTCTAAAAATCTTACGAATTTTTTTAGATTTATTATATTTAGTCAAAATCTATAAAAAATATTTCTTCTACACTTAGACCTTTTTTCTACCTTCTACTTACATTTATCAGAGTTGGTTTATTTTAACATCCTCTTTTTACTTATTTTGAATATCGTTTATCATAATGCCTTTTAATTAAAAAGTACATAAATTTTATTTAAAAATATTCAAAATATACTTTTTGATAATAGCATGATTACATCAAGCGAATTTCTATCACTAAGTTACAAAATAAAAGTTAAAAATTTTTCTTAATAATTTATTTGAAAATATTAACATTATTTTAGATAATATTTTTAATTTTTATTTTTTAATTTTAGAATTTTATGTTTTCGAGCACAAAAATGAAGTTATACTGCAATTACAATAATGATTTTAAATGCTATTATAGTTGTTAGAGTTTGAGTTTTTTATGATTTACGATTATTTTATGTTGCGATCAATTAACGTAACGAAATTATTAAGAATTTCCTTCTCTCTGTTGGACAACACAACGGTCACTTCACACGCACTCCAACTATTTAATTCACATTGTATAACACATTCAGAAAATCTTGCAGAGTCAGCCAATACCTTCAGATCGTACCGCGAATACTTTCACATGCGATTCCTCATTGAAGCTTTCTCTCGCACGTTCTCTGTCGGATAAGAGGAAACAAAACATACTTATCCGTTTGTTGATTGATAAGAATCTAAGTGGACCACTTATCTCAAGAAAATCTCCAAAACGTGTTGCGAACTATAGTAAGAGTAATCGGTGATTATGAGATGCTAAACGGAAAACGAGCGTGAATCAGATAGGGCAAACGAGATACTTGGTCCACATGCTATTGCGTATTCTGACCTGGTTTTTATCCAACCCGAATAGTCGAGTTCTGATTGAACTAAACCGAGCTATAAATCATGGTTTAACGTAACATCTTATACTTACATATACATCTATGATTATTTTACTTAAACATTGCCGACAATTAAAGTTGTCAATGGAACAAATTTATACAATAGTATCGATTATCATAAATAGGATCAGAATTAAATGACACAACGATTTAAACAAATATTTAACAACTGATAAAACCTGTTACTAACAACTTAAAATTAAATCTTGAATTAAGATCGTTTTTATTTCAAAAATTTGATTATTACGTCCAAAAAACAAAAAGTTAATTAAAAATAGCTTGTACGAAAACTAATTTGTAATAGAAAGTAACAATTTCTATATTTTCCTTTATCTTATATACGATATTTCTATTATAATTTATATATGACTTTATATCTGTACAAAATTTACAATAGTATTATTGAGAAGAACGTGAGAAAAGATTTCTCCTATTATCACGATTTAGTGACCAAAAACTACTTTCTTATTCCTTTTCAAATGTTCTCACAAATGAGAATTTGATTATTCATATTATTATGGAAAACATGTGAAACTAACAATAAGCAAGATTATCATCAATTATAAAATATGATAATCCATAGATTTAGAAACTTGTCAAGCATGTATAAGCTGGTACTATTACTAATATATGCGACAATCGTATCCTCTGACACTTTCTTATTCTTCTGATAATATCCGCTTCACAGGAGAACATTGCCGTCGTTTATTATATCACAGTATTCTATCACATACATGCCGAACGTCGTGATTCACACTTGCCGAGACTGGTTTGCATCCTACATTATTGTATCCTGGTAGCGTGTTACTCCACGTGTTAAGAGCTCGTTTCTAACAATAAGGATGACTCATATTTTGAATTGACTAATTGCAAAGTTTAATTTAGAGTATTTGTGTGACGCTTGTAATAATTCTATTAAATCGCTTATATTTAACTGCGTTTTAAATCTAATTATATTATTTAAGATTTAAAAGACAATTTATATTTATATATAATTATTTATATATATATAGTATTATTTATATATAAGCATTTCTTTTTTAAACAGTTTTTAATACATAATTATCAATTAAAAAATTGTAAGAAATTACTAGAAAATATAACTATTATTTTTATAGATTTTTATTCATTTAAAAAATCAATACATAGAACAAACTAAATCTTAAAAACTTAAATTAGAATAACGTTGTAAATTATTAAATAAAATACTTTTAAAAATTTTACTATGTTAAGAAGAGAATTTCAAGTTACATCTTTAGTTATGAAAATGAGAAAATGCTCCGCGCGCGCGCGTTTCCATTAATCACAGCTAACATTAACAGGGCTTGGCAGGTCTTTATCTTTATTTGTCCTTATGACTTGACTTTACTGTGTTAAAATTCATTTGTTATAATTCGCCAACAGCTCATTGTATGTGCACGCAGAAAGTGAGAGGACGTAAGCTTCTCATAACTCGTAATAGTGCCCGACATTACTTTCACAACGAGAGCAAGGTCTTATTTTCTACATTGATGGGTTTCGCTCTTTTATCTCTATCGGCATGCTTTATTTCAATATCCGTTTGTACGTTATACATGGAAATGTTAAATAATTTTTAAATGTAATTTATATTCATGCAAATTAAATCTACAAAAGCGAATAATTGCTCGTGCATATAATTAACGTGAAAAGATTGATTATGTAAATATTATGATAATTTTCCATTGAATCTGAGAAAAACGCAATTTTCAAATACCTTGAAATGAATATTATAAAAACATACGTTGAAATGAATATTATAAAAAAACATTTATGACATTTGAAAAGAATTTTATTGCATTTGTAGAAGCCGAAGTATGAGAATTAAAAAATAGAAAATTAAAAAGTAGTCATGTACATATAAATTAAATACATATTGCTTGCTAATTTATTCAGTGTTTAAATTTTGTATAAAATTATTTGTTTCACGTGGCTCTTAATTAAAACTTTAAATGTATACAAAAAGCTAAATATGAAAATATGAATATTTTAAAAGATAATATATATTTTTATATTATTTGTATTATTTTCACATATATTTAAATAACATTAATAATATAATATTATATTATATTATTTTTATATATTTTATTTTTGAGGAAATAAATGATATCGATGAAACATTAGAAACAACGTTGGTAATATCAATATCGTTTTTATCAACGTTCTATACCAGTGATTCTAGATAGAGAAGAAATCTTTCTTGAAATGCAATATATTTAGAGAATATGATGACACCTATTGCATAAAGTACAAACAAGTTTATAAAATTTATCGAATTTTTATACTATTTATTGTTTAGTTATTAGATACTCACAATATTCAGTAATTCTTAATAATAAAAATTTAGTAAGCTACTCAAGTTCGATTTCGATAAAATTTTAGATGTGTAGTACTAACTAAATATAGTTGAATCCATAAATGCGGAGGTGTGGAAATATTTAATTTTCGAAATATTGAAATTTTATTTATTCCGCTTGATTAACGTTTTTTAAAATTTTGGTACTAAAAAATAATTAGAAATAATTTTTACTTGATAATTTTATATTAGTATATTGAGAAATTGTAAGTACAATGTTAATACAAAATTATTTAAAGAAAAACAAAGAATAAAAATCTCTAAAAGACTATGTTGAAGATGGTTGTCTTTTACTACATTTCCACTGCGACTGCATTATTGGAGGTCGGAACTACGATTGTGCGAGACGTAGTCCGATAAGCGGTAATTTTTTATTGCTGAGGATGACTCAAATAGTGAGCCAAAACGTACAAAATTGAATTTGTGACATATCAATAGGTATTAGTTAACATAGCGCAATATAATATCCAGCGTTGACTTCTAACGCCTATTTGTATTTTGCCATTATTTTTTCATTGTATTAATTTAAAGAGTCTTTAAATCTTGTTCATTTCTTTACTTGAATTTGTTTAATAAAAATCTTATTTTCCTATATTTTATTATATTATTAGTATTTAAATAACAGCAGGAAGTATTATTTAACATTATTTTTAATTATCTGTATTATTTGATTAATAATTTATATAGAAAATTATTTTTTAATTTCCTCATCTTGCGTTGAAGCTTTTGTTAATCTTTACAAATTTATTTTTTGTATGTAAGACATACAAAATGAATATTTAAAATAAACACACATGGAAAGTACCACTATAAGTTTTTTGCAATTTCTGTACAATCAGAGCAGCACTATTATAATTACTCACCAATACCGTGTTCCAAGGTCCTATGTATTATTATTAAGATCAATTACACTAAACTTGAATTTAATCGACAACACGTTTAAATTTTTCGCCTTCCTACAATAACGAATCTATCATGTACTAAAAATGAACTCGTGAAGATTAGCAAACAATAATGCAAACAATAAAATATGCAAGGTGACAGTTTTATGAAATTAAAAAATAATTTTCCTGTACAAATTATTAATCAAACAATAGATTACTAATATTTAATTTTGTAAAAATAATGTCTAATTTTACCTCCTTTTATGTGTGTTTGAAATACTTATAATACAATAAAATATAAAAATATAAGACTTTATTCATTATTTTTTTATAATAATGATATTTTGTAAACATTATACGTAAATACAATTTCTCAATATAGTAACAAAACTATTTAGTCAACAAAACAATTTGTAATTGTAATTATTTTCTTATGTCAAAATCTTACGTTCCACCTGTACTCGATCCGGACGAGGGTATTGTGTTCGGAGCTGGCCCGGACTGAATGGGTATTACGCTCATTTCTGGTGCTGACTGGGGCCCTGAGTTCTGTTCTTGTGCAAGCGGACTAGTTCCTGCTGGTATAGAAAACGTTAATTAAGCCAATTAAATAAAATTGAAATATTTCAAAAAAGAAGCATTTTCGCATTTCTTTTAAATTTGACTACATTTAGTTAGTACATATCTGTAAAACTTCATCAAAATTGGACTAGGATAGCTTACTAAAGTTAAGTGTTCTGAATTAATAAGCTTTTAATTAATAAGAATCAGATAATACGTAATTGTAATGTTTTATCTTATTTAGATTATAATTTCGTTTTCATATTCAGTATAATATAATAAATTGAAAATATACAAATTTTGCGAAAATAATTTTAACATACCATACCTTTTAAGAAAATTAAGAGTTTTTCAGTTTTGCATTTGTTCCATTTATTTTTAATTCATTTATCGTATTTATTGTTGGTATCAATATATTGTTGTCTTTTTTATATTCATATCATCAACTTTTTTTATTTTGATGTCATAATTTGCTTTTTATTTGTGCGGGCTCTTAACTTTATGTAGATCATGGGTTTGCCCTGATCCGGACTAAGACGTTTCACCTGTACCTGGTCCGGACGGGGGTGCTGCGTTCGAATCTGCTCCGGGCTGAGACGATCCACCTGTACCTGGTCCGGACGGGGGTGCTGCGTTCGAATCTGCTCCGGGCTGAGACGTTCCACCTGTACCTGGTCCAGATGGGAGTCCTGTGTTCGGACCTGCTCCGGACTGAGACGATCCACCTGTACCTGGTCCAGACGGGAGTCCTGTGTTCGGACCTGCTCCGAACTGAGACGATCCACCTGTACCTGGTCCAGACGGGAGTCCTGTGTTCGGACCTGCTCCGGACTGAGATGGTGCACCTATTCCTGGTTCGAACGAGAGTGGTGTGTTCGAACCTGCTCCGGACTGAAACATTCCACCTGTACCTGGTCCGGACGGGAGTCCTGTGTTCGGACCTGCTCCGTTCTGAGACGTTCCACCTGTACCTGATCCGGACGGGAGTGCTGTGTTCGATCCTGATCCGGACTGAGGCGTTCCACCTATACCCGATCCGGACGAGGGTATTATGTTCGGAGCTGGCCCGGACTGAATGGGCATTACGCCCATTTCTGGTGCTGAGTGGGGCATTGAGTTCGGTCCTTGTGCAGGCGGAGCAGTTTCTGCTGGTGTAGATGATATATTTTCCGTTGTTGTATCTGATTAGGGATTACCGATAATCAACTAATTAATCAAAATTTTCTTCCTAAAATATCAATTACCTATTATATTAATATTATTACAATTTTATTAGTAGTTATTTTAAATTCGATATTTGATTGCATTGAATTTTAACTTAAATTTTAAACTGAACGATTTATCAATACATTAAGTATTTTATATTTCATAAACTCATAAGTAACAAAGATATTAGGTTATTTATTATCAATAAACAGTTATAAATGTATATATGCATATAAAACTTATAATTACTACCGTCTTCATGCAGAATATGAAATATATGCAATGTATATGTTGTATATAGCGCCAAAGTTATTAGATATAAAATTAAATTTTTTTGGAAATTAGATTAACTTATCCTAATAATTAGATACTTTTTTTATTAATTTCTAAACTGGGTGCATTTAGGAATTCGTCCAGATAACTTTAGGCTTAGTTTACGTTACGTATACTATAGCAAAATGCATACCATGCATCTGTGCGTAATTCCTAAACACACTCTTATAATCTCATCTAAAAATCTTAGGAAAGATGAGCAATTGATGACGTGACTAGCTATTCTGTGATTGGCCAACGTGTTACTTGCTCCCAAGAATAGGCATTGGTAGGCGCCAACTGAGTCATATGACTCTTTGTGGTTGACTAGTGTAATTTTTGCTCAAAGTCATGTAATGTAATTAGTTGACTCATCTTTCCTAGAATTTCTATAATCTCATCTATAATATAGACATAAAAATTTCGTTAATAAAGGATCGCGCCGATCAATATGAAATTAATAAATTCTGGATAATCATAAAGGAAATGTAAAGGGATTATTCAATTACTTTTAATATTTCCATAAAATAAGCAATTACAGAGTTAATGAATATATTCTAGAATTTATATTTTTAAATTATAAGAAACATATTTTTAGATCGTACATGTGAGAACACAATCAATACGAACTAGAAATGTCTATATCGGTCGAAGCTAGATCTTTAATGCTTAAACAATTTAATGTGAATTATATATGTACATATATATTATAGTATATATACATACATATATGTATATAATTTTTAAATGCTGATTTTTTTATCTACAATCTCTATGCATTATAAAATTGTAGTTACTGCAATTGATCTTACTTTTCGTTGTACTTACTTTCCGTTGTCGTACGATGTGGTAAACACAATTCTGGACATTTCACAATACACACCAAATTAAAGAAATATGGCATGGTATCTGCAGATTTGCAAAACGAGTGACAAAAAGTTTGACGTAGCTCATCTAGTTGTGTGAAACCAAATCTTCGGATTCGTGAAGCATGATTAGTTTCGGGTGAAACATAATGTTGTAATCCGCCATGAGACATTACATACTAAATATTATACATATTATTTGTTAATTATATTCTGTTCTCTTCTCTCTCTTACTTTTAATTTTAATTTTCATTTACGCCAACCGTTGTAGGAACAATATCTTATAATTTCTAAAGACGTTCTTAAATTAAATTAAATTTATTATTCAAATTTATTAATTATAAATTAGAATTTAATAAACAATATAAAAGTTTATGCAAAGTCGTTTTTTTTATTATAAATTTATGTTTAAAAAACTCTAAATTAATTATCTGCTTAAATTGATATTTTTAATTTGGAAAATACATAAATACGTATTCAATAAAATTTATGCTATAATCAAGCTATATTTCCCTAGTTTGATAATATGAATATCTTTTATATTGATACAGTATATGTTCAGTGATCTAATTTTTCGAAAAGTAAAATACAAAAATAATATATATCATGAATAATTAATACAGAAATCTAATAATAAATTTGATTATTCTTGTCAGCGTATATGGTGTTACAGTGCATGATAAAAATGTAGTAAAATAAATTATTTTCAGAAACGTTATTTGAAAAGCATATGCTTATAATTATATGTTTATATATATGTGTAGTATCTACTGATTTATATATATATAAAAAATGTGTAATATATATATAAGAAATATTATAAATTTTTTTTGGTACCTTTGTCAAGACAGTTCCATACAAAATAAACAGTCCAACCGAAATACTTAGACGTAACATTTTGTTCTTTACTGTATTTTCTATACAATTTTTTATTGCAACTATATAGAGTTGTTCGTTTTATATTATTATATTAGATGTACTTTGTTACACACTCTGTAACCGTTATAATCTCAAGCAAATTTTCTCTGCTCATTTATATAGACAAGAGTATGCATATTCTTAAAAATACAAACGTGACAAAGTCGTGTAACGTATTAGTCATTTTGCAGGATTTTCTTCACAGATTATGTATCTTGTTCCTTATCTTGTGTATTATATATTCTGAAAACAATGCACCGCATGACATATAAAGATATTTTATTATCAAAGATGTTCCACTTTTAAACCTTTTAAATTTATATTTCATGAAATTAAATAAAAAAATAACTGATAAAAGACAAAGTAGAGACAAATATTTTATCATATAGTGATTAAGTTAAGGTTTTAAAAAAAAATTAATTAAAGGTAGATGTATATTAATAAAAATATAAAAAAAATTGATAGAAGTATATCAATTGCTATAAAATAAAATTAATTTTTAAAAAATATTCGAGTTTTATAATATTCAATTGTAAGAATATTAATGGATTGTAATTATTAAAAAAAAAACATTACTTAGCAATATTTATACATGTACATATTTTTTTATTTTGCTTCTATAATACATACATATATATATATATATAATAAAAATATGGTGGAAATATATATGTGTGTGTGTGTGTGTGTGTGTGTGTGTGTGTGTGTGTGTGTGTATTTTCACCGTGCTTAATCACACTCAATATATTTTTTATGTTTTAAAAGACTATTAATAAAATGTATTGCTTTTGCGTACATGTTTAGCATTATAATTGTTGTTATGAATAATTCGTAACAAAGTTTCCGCGATCTTTATTCTGTCATAAGAAGTCACAACACGTGACTAGAATGCAAATAAGAATAGCGCTATAAAAATTAAGAAGGTCAAAACTATTTTTACTCACTATCCTTACTGTTCAAACACGTCGCTGATTAGTAGGATTAGCACAAGAAAGGTGTAACTTTGCGTCAATATTTATCTTTATAACCTAGTTGTATGCAACCCGTTCTTCGTTGTTGTATAAAGCGTGAATTTTTTTCTGCTTATTATGAAACGATACAAATATAAAATGTATGAACCGAAACGTAATAATTACATATTTATCATTTAAATGCTTATAATCTTATTGAAAACTGTTATTTGAAAATAATGATAAAAATATGTGTGATAAACGATAAACTAAAAATAATATCATTTTCTATAATTAAAAAGATTAATTACTATAATAGTACTAATACAATGAATTTATATATAATAAATATGTATATATATTTTAAACATATAAATAATACAAAATTTAGTAGTATATTTAAATATCATACTTTACAATAAATAGAAGTTTTTTTGACAATATATCTAAGTAAATGCAATAAACGAAGGAAAGATAAAATTTCAGGAAAAGTATATACGTTATACGTAAAAGTGATTGCTGCAAAACGATTAGAAATATTTCTAAAATAAGTCGTAATGATTGAAAAGAATAAATAAAAATGACAGCTTTTAATTCAAAATTCGTTTCGTTATTATCTAAATTTATTTATTTATTCCGTTTTTCATATGATCGAGTACTGATGCAATCAAATATAAATGTAATTCAACGACCTAATTAGATTTTGTGGAATTAAAGAAATAACATTTAATTTTTTTACGGGGAAAATTCTTTTTCCGCAATTTTTCTTAAAAGCAAACGTTCGGTCTAGAATATATACGGATGTTGCTATGACCTTTCGCGGCGAAGCACGAAACTACGTCACGACGTGGATATAGGAAGGTGCTGCCAGGTAGGAAGGTGATAGCCACGACGTGATCACGTTAGCAATGACGCCAGAGATCCCAGCGGGTCGATAACAATGAGACCGACAACGACTGGCCGAGAACATTTCTGGCGCCCTGGTCTCTCCTTCCAGAGCCGTCGGCTTTTTTGTTACCCACTCGTTTTTGCTCGTGCTTTTACTCTTTGTGTAAATCTTTTTCGACCACCCATCTACTCTCTTCCCTGGCCGCTCTTCCATTTCAATTAGTTAATGTCTGTGAGTAAAAAGGGTGCCCCGCGATACGACGTATTCTTGGATTATTGCGGAAAAGAAATCAATTCGCTGAAAAGCGTCTCGGTGTAAGCGTCGCGAATTTATCTCGCTAATTCGACATACCATAAAGATACGTACGTACGTTTAAATGCATAATTCTGGCGTCGATAATACAGAGGCATAATATTCGTGGATTGCTCTTACCATCGGCTAATCGTTCGATACTAGTTTCCATTGAATTTCCAAGGAATGCAGCACCTTCAAGTAATTTGGAGAATTACTTCGATATCAGACATTTTTTCATTCTTTGTATTTTTCGATGATAATTATTAGATTTCTTTTAAAAGAATGTAATATATATTCTAATGTTGAACATGGTGATCATAATTGGCTCAATCCCAGTACCACTTGTTGTAATTTGTGCTTTTAATAAAACAAATTATTTTGAATGCTTTTGATGTAGATATATATAACAAATGAATTGATATAATGTTCAAATTAGAGCTCTCAATAATTACTACATAATTTTTATTTCAATAAATGCTACAGTTTTGATTTACGACATTAAAATTGTAAAATTCTCATTAGTATTTTTGCTTAAAGAAATTTAAATTGACGTATTTCATGTTAAATCTAGAGAGTGAAAGTATTGATACTATTATGTATCATGAAATTCCACTTGTTTCGCACCAGCCTCGATGTCTGAACTGTCCTCGGAAAAAATCAGGAAGTCGTATTGCTATGACGGAGATTTGCGCGATCGTCTGGTTAAACGTTTTATTCGATAGTCTACCGGCGTCTCTAAGCAGCGCGGAATTATTCGTGAAAGTAATTGGGACCTCTCGTTATGAAACTCGCGATCGTCTCTCAAGAAAGTAATTCAACGATGGTGTAAGATACTTTCGTAATTCTCAGCTGCATCCCTAATTGGGCCTGCATATGCCAATCGATTCTCTCCTTCAGTCAAGCATCTAGCTCGCGTTAAAATCGTGGGAGCGAATAACGCGCAGATGGCCCGACGTGTAAGATGAATCTTTCGTCGTTCTTGCGATCGATACGAAAGTGCAATCTGCAAAGTTGCGAATCCGAACATGTTCATGGTATGGGTATCGAATGCTTTTCAATCTTAGAATTTTACCGCGAAACCGGATTAAGCCAGGAAACGTATTAACGACAGTCGATAATACACTGTAAAATGTAATATTATTACGTAGATTCTCTTAAAATATAAAGATATTTAACGAACAATATGAATTAATCAACAGTTCTCTATCATATTTAAAAAATTAAAAAGTTACTATATAATTATACTTTACAAGGTATTGTTCTATTCTTTAGATTTGAATAACGTTATATTTACGTTACAGAGAGAGATTGCATCATAATATAATAATATTATACATACTTATTATATTATATTATATTTACAGTATAATTAAAAAAATTATTTCAACCTTGCGACTCCGTCGATAACCAGCTCGACAAATCAATTCGGCTCTAAAATGAAATTCGTAGGAATATAAGAAATAAATGTTGATACCGTTAAAAATAAAAAAAAAGTAAAAATGTTTTTATATAATAGTGCATATCATTAACAAACACTATTATAAATATTATTCCATAATAGTGCAAGCCAGTGATATTATTAATTGATAGGATGTTGAATAGTATGATTATTCAAATTCTAACGAAGAATACAAATGAATCAGCCAAAGAGGGAGAGAAAGAAAATTAATTCGTGTATGCGCACTTGATTGTTAAAGTTGATATCGTTATCCAAACTTACGAAAATAAAATAATTTATGAGAGTGAAGACAATTTAATTGATGAAAAAGTTTTCTACATAAGAATTTAATTTATTTCTTTTTTTAAATAAATCCCCAAAATAAAATGTGTAAATGTCATGATGCCAAAAGTGCTGTTACGTATTACGTTCACTAATTCAAACTTGTTTTATGAATTAACATAAACGGAGTAAAAAGACTTGTCTTGATTATTCGCACGGACGGATTCATGTGTGGATTGCAAGACTTAATAAAAAGATAGGCCCGTCAATGTGATTGAAGGCATCGTCGATGGAAGATTGCGGAGGTGTGCAGTTCCTTGCGGAGGATTCCGCCGATACTCGGCTCCTTGACGTTCCTCCAGGGAGTTTCGGCCTTGCGACGGAAGGCGATAGTGGCGTAGGGTGCATACCGAAGGGAAGATGAGAATGGGCGAAGGAAAGGAAACTAGGGAAGGGTAGGCGAATAGATGAAGAAACTCGATGTAGAAACGAAAAGGAGAAAGAGAGGGAGAGAGAAAGTGAGAGGGAGACAAAGAGACAGAGAGTGGGAGATGAGGGCGCATTCCCGGTCAGGAGCGTGGAAAAGGGCGATCGGGGAGGTTATGGGGTGGTGGCGTGGGTGTGCTAGTGGTACTGGTTCTTGCCGAGAGAGTGGGGGAGAGAGAGAGAGAGTGAGAACGTAGGAGGGAGTGGGCGAAGAGAAGTCTAGAGGGATGGAAAGAGACGAATGACGAGAAACGAAGGGATCCTGGGGAGTTCGACTGAGAGAGAGGAAACGAGCACGAGAGTGGAGACGAATGAAGGAGAGAGAAAGGTGTCTAAAGGGTGCGAGGGAGACGATACGATTAAGGAGAAACAGCATGAACGAGGGACAGGAATAGTGAGATAGAGGCGAAGCGTAGAGAACGCGAAAACGAGATGGAATGACTTTACAGAAGAATGAAAGGAAGAAAGAACCGAAGAGGAAGACTCGTTTGGAGAGGCAAGAAGACGTACGTAGAGCAAACAGAGAGGAAGAGGGATCGGGGTTTGGGGTGGCATGTGATGAAGGGGGACATAGATCGCGTGTACTGCGAAGAAAGAGAGAAGAGCAGTCGAGAGGGGATAAAGTCTGGCGGAGAGAGAAGGACGGAGAGAAGCCTACGGCGAAGGGGGGTGAGGAGATGAGGACGGAGGAAAGCGAGGACGAGTAAGAGATAGAGCGATGCGTATAGAGCGG